GAAGTATTTTAAAGAAACCTGAAAGAACTGCGTATGTTGGAAATCAGAAACAAAAGCAGGAATTGCTGGAAAAAACTCAGCAGTTCTGTCAGCATCTTGGGAGAGAAAACAGTGTTAACTCTTCCAGTCCAGTGACCAGTTTGAGTTCTGAGGAAGAGTCACTGAACCTAAAACGTTAATTGTGTTATCTCTCCACAGATACTGCTAGGCCTGCTGAAGTTTTTCAGCAACTTCTGATTTTGTAAATAAAAAAAATTAATCGATCAAGCCAGATTTCAGTCTGGGATCTGTCTTGTCCAGTAATAACATCAAGTGGGAGCATAAGACCATAAGATACAGGAGCAGAATTAGGCCATTTGGCCTATCAATACTGCTCCACCTTTCAATCAGGGCTGATATTGACAGATAGCAGAATGTGGGAAGCTGACCAGGATGGAATATCCGAAAATTACCCACCTTGAGCTCCTCATGGGATTTGTATTCAGGCCTCACAATTGTTCCAACCTTTAATAATTGGGCAACATGTTTTTATTTCAGCTTGATCTGTCATAGATTTGATTTTCAGTCTGGAATTTACCACTGACTGAATATTCATCACTCCTCTTCAAAACTATGATTCATAGCTGCTGCCTGCGTTACCCTGCTGAGGAGTGGGAGGTGTAAGATAATGGAGCAACATGATTCTCTCCTGCACCATCTCCACAGTGAACCACATTTCAAATGACACAGCATCTACAGCATAGAAACAGGTGGTTCAGCTCATCTGCTCTGTGCTGTTCATTCTGCTCTGTATGAGCCTCATCCTCAGACCCTGATGTTCAGACTGAACAGTGTCGAGTGGAAAAGATGTACAACCTCCTGTAAGCCTGTTGTTTCATTCCTCCACTGTCTGCTCCTCATCAATAGTGGGGTGACAAAAAGTAAACCTGATTTCCTGGGATTTCCTTTGTTCAAAGGAAAGTGGACATCACTGGGCCGACATATATTGCTGGGGAAAAGGTGGTGGTGAGCTGCCGTCTTCAATCACTGTGTTCCTGTGGGGTACAGGCACCCACAACATTGTTAAAGGGAGAGGTTCAAGAGCTCCAGAACTGAATAGCACTGAAGGTACGGTGATATATTTCCAAGTCAGGATGGTGGGCAGCTTGGAGGGGAACTTGCAGAAGGTGGCGTTCCCATGTATCTGCTGGTCCTTGTCCTTCTAGGTGGAAGAGGTAGTGCGTTTGGAAGGTGCTGTCTGAGGATCTTTGGTGAATTTCTGCAGTGCAACTTGTAGATAGTACACACTGCTGCTACTGAGCGTCGGTGGTGGAGGGAGTGGATGCTTGTGGATGCAGTGCCAATCGAGCACTTCTTGTCTCCCTAAAACCTGTCCAGTATCGACAAGGCACAAGTCAGGAGTGTGATGGAATACTCCCTACTTGCCTGGATGGGTGCAGCTCCAACAACACTCATGAAGCTTGACCAGGCAGGCCATTTGAACATAGAACACAGAACAGAAAAGTTTTCTAATGGGCTGAACAGCCCATTTCTATGCTGTAGATGCTGTCATTTGAAAATCAAATCATGATAGTAAAATATAGGGTATGTAGGGTAGTTTGATCTTAGAGTAGGATAATAGGTCGGCACAACATCATGGGCCGAAGGACAGCACAGCACAGTACAGGCCCTATGTTGTATGTTCAAAGGGGCTGCTCTGTCAAGCTTCTTGTGTTGTTGGGGCTGCATCCATCAAGGCAAGTGGAGAGTATTCCATCACACACAACAACAAAAACAAAGTTGCTAGAAAAGCTCAGCAGGTCTGGCAGCATCTGTGAAGGAGAAAACAGAGTTAACGTTTCGGGTCCGGTGACCCTTCCTCAGAACTGACCTGAAACGTTAACTCTGTTTTTTCCTTCACTGACGCTGCCAGACCTGCTGAGCTTTTCCAGCAACTTTGTTTTTGTTCCTTGTTATAGTTGAATGATCTCCTGTCAGGCCTCTTAACAATGTCTTTCAGATGTGCCTGGAAGCATTTTAAAAATTAATCTTGAGAATTATGCATCTTTTCATCGTTTTGTGTTGAGATTAGAAAAGTATTGGAGGATAGTGGTTGAACCTATATCAGAGTATGACACTCCAGTATTTTATGTGGTGGTCTATTGTCATTTTTGTTATAGATAAACTCTTGTGGAGGATGTGAATTTCACCTCCATTAACCATTTCTCCTCTTTACATGGGATTCCATAGTGCGTACAACACAACAAAAAATAGGCCAATTGATCTAACCACGTAGCTGTTACCCTCCATTTGAGTTCTCCCATATTTACTCATTTCAGTCTGCTATTGCACTTTGTATTGCTATCTTCATTATTGTCCCCTTAAATGCATCTATTCTCTTCATCCACTTCTAGTGGTAGGGAATTCCACATTCATACCACTCTTTTAGATAAAGAAAATTTTTCTGTTGGATTTTTGGTGACCGTCTTATATTGATGGTGTCTTGTTGTGTTCTTCACCACAAGACGAAGCATTCTCTCTGCACCAATCCTATCAAAACCTTTCATAATTTCAAAGACCTCTATTAGGCCCTCACCATCTTTTGTTCAAGAGAAAAGAGATTTAGCTTGTAAATCCTTTCCTCCCATGTATACCCGCATATTTCTGTATCATGCTTGAAAAATTTTTTGAGCCTTCTGTCTCCATTTCCTTTCTATACAATACTGACCAGAACTGCACACAAGACATTAAGTATGGCCTAACCAGCATTGTTGCAAGTTTAGCATAACTTCCCTTCTTGTCAATTCCACCCCTCTAGAAATGGTGGTGGACATTAAAACCCTCCCCACGCCCAGGATATATTCTGAGGCCTTGCTACCCTCAATGCTTCCTCCAAGTGTTGTTCAACATTGAGGAGTACTGATTCATCAGCTGAGGGAGGACGGTATGTGGTAATCATCAGGAGGTTTTCCTGTCCATGTTTAACCTGAAGCTATGAGACTTCTTAGAATCTGGAGTCAATGATGAGGACCCCCAGAATAACTCCCTCCCGACTGTATACCACTGTGCTGCCACCTCTGCTGGGTCTGTCCTGCCCGTGGTACAGCACATATCCAGGGATGGTGATGGTGTTGTTGGGGACATTGCCTCTAAGGTATAATTCCATGAAGACTATGTAAGGCTGTTGCGTGACTAGTCTGTGAGACAGCTCTCCCAATTTTGGCACTAACCCCCAGACGTTGGTAAGAAGGACTCTACTTGGGTGCACAGGGCAATTTTTCCCATTGTTGTTTCTGATGCCTGGGTCAATGTCAGGTGGTCCATCTGGTTTCATTCCTTTCTTGAGACTTCATAGCAATTAATACAACTGAGTGGCTCGTGAGGACATTTCAGAGGCCAGTTGAGGGTCAGCGACATTGCTTAGGGTCTGGGGTCACACGTAGACCAGACCAGGTAAGGATGGCAGATTTCCTTCCCTGAAGGACAATATTGAACCAGGCGGGTTTATATGATAATCTTTACTTGGCTGTCATAAGACTAGCTGTTAATTACCGTTATTTACTGAATTCAAATTTCACCATCTGCCTTGGTGGGAATCAAACCCATGTCCCCAAAATATTAGCCTGGGTTTCTGGAATTAGAAATCTGATCACATTACCACCATGTTACCTTCTCCAAAAATCCTGGTTAACACCAGGATAACAAGAAATTCAAGCCAGTCCTTTGATCTTGATGGTGAATTCTGATTAGCTGATCTTGTTAGAAGGACACTTAAATAGAAACTTCTGGAAATATAATGCAGATGTTAGTGAGAACAAAATCCAACATGGCTGTACCTCATAGTCCCACATCAAATAATAGTCGAGGTGAAAACACCCTCTGGGAAGGAAGATGGGGTTATAACAGTTAAAGCCAATTCTATACTCATACCAGCACTGGAGAGGGGACTATAACAGTTTAAAACCCATTCTCTACTCACATGGGGAGTGGAGCGGGGATTATAACAGGTTAAAACCCATTCTATACTCCCACTGGGAGTGGAGAGGGGATTATAACATAAATACAGCACCTTCCAAACTCACAACTACTTTCATCAAGAAGGACAAGGGCAGCAGATATATAGGAACACCACCACCTGCAAGTTCCTCTCCAAGCTACTCATCATGTTGACTTTGAAATATATCGCCATTCCTTCACTGTTGCTGGTTCAAAATCAGAGAATTCTCTCCCTTAGGGCATTGTGGGTCTACATACAGCACATGGACTGCAGCAGTTCAAGAAAGCAGCTCACTACCACCTTTTCTAGGGCAACAAGGGATAGGCATTAAACGCTGGCCCAGACAGCGACACCCACATCATGAATGAATAAAGAAAAAATAGCGAATTGTCAGTAAAGCCCCTTGGGCAGTGCTGAGATTATGAGGTGGTATATAAATGCAAATCTTTCCCCCTTTGATCCTTAGCGTGGGTTAATGACATTGGTCAGCAGAGGGTTGTTCAGCTTGCAGCTTTCAACATTTACACTCATACTGTCAAAGGTCTACTTTCATCATCAAGGAAGCCTGGGTTATGGCAATCATTGCCACTTGTGATTAAGATTATATCTGTGCCTTTCACTCTGTATGCAAGATCCTCTCCAAAGCTTTGGAAAGAGACTGTTCTGAAGACAACACATGAATTGTTAAGCTGTTTTATTTCACAAGTTAACAAACAGAGCAATATAGATGCTGGGTCACCATTGGTACACACAATGTTACATAATATAAACATAAAAGACATGCAATACTGTCCCACATCAGTGTTTGACTTCATTTTGTTTGACTTCAACATAGAGACACCTAATTATCCCTTCCCTATATTTTCTTTCTGAACTCGGAGAAAGCTTATCCTCTGACTAACTGGTTGTGTCTGTCTACCTTTAACTTTCTTACTTGCTTGGTGCTTACATCACTGCTCCTAGAGAGGAATTCCCTCTACTCGTCATGTCTGACAAACTCTCTCTACA